GAAAGTCCAGTGCCCTTACCCATCCCGCCCCCTGCTGGTCCCAGAAGCCTTTTTTTTTTAAATTATTATTTATTACAATACTTTGCCTTGTGAAATTTAAAAGTATTTGAAGGGCAGCCCACGGCGTGGTGGTTAAGGTGGCTAGATCCCACATACTCACTGTGTGGGGTGGCTTAAAACTCACGCGGGGCACGTGTTCATGCATGCCCAAGATCCCAAGAGGAGATTGGAGGAGAAGGGATTGTGGCGTGGCCATCTCCCCTGGGGGGTGATTTCTCACTTTCTGTCTCTCTCTGTCTCTCTCTGTCTGGTGAGCGCACGCGCCCTATAGCAAAAACCTCCCCCAAAAAAGAAAAAAATAATAATAATTTTTAAAATTGCAAAATAAATATTGATGCTTTATATTTTCCTGTGGGAACAATATGGTAAATGTTGAAATACTTTCAATTTGATTCTAGTTTTCAGATCAAATAGATGTTTTACAGAGAGCACGGATTTTTAAAAAAAACTGCAAGGCAATGTTTCCCAACCGAAGAATCGCGACTACTGTTTTTAGTGACGAAGGGGTGCAGGTCTTAGTGACAAGGTACATCAAGGCACTGAACCCCCCTCAACAGCTTCTGGACAGATTTCTTCAGGATTCTGGCGCAGCACTTGTGAGTATGGTGGCATCTTTAGCAGCCTCGCTGTGCCGAAAAGCCATCTGTGGAGAGTCACCTGCACCTTGTGTTTATTCTGGCGCGCTCTGACTGGCTCCCCTCAGAATTCGTGTATTAGGGAATTAGAGTTCCCTTAGCTGGACCGCACAAGCCCAAATCAAAATTCCGAGTTCAGTTTGCTACACTCTGCTTTTCTATCACTGGTTTCTTTGCGCCTACGTGTCCTGACACTCATATCCAAGTAAATAATAGTCCTGTGGATTTACTTCAGAGGTTATCACGCACACACACGCACACAGATACATACACACACACACACACACATATATATATCCCTCCTAGCTCTTTGACCTGTTAAGGATTGTGACCATATTTATTAACTGCATGCAGTTAGCACGTGACCTGGATAAGTTATGGGATCACTCTTAAGTTTATTTTCTCTTCCATAAAACGAGAGCAGTCATAGTGTCATTTCACAGGCTTGTCATATACCCTGCTGGTGAGTGAGATGGTGCGTGGAACGCACTGTGCTTGGTGGGCGTGTAATACACACTGAATGCATTTTAGCTTACCGTATTCCAGGACCTCGCTGCTCGATTTGTATCACTGATTCCTTTTATGTGTGGTACGGTGGATGAAAATGATGATTCTGATATATGGATGGCATCAGAGGTAAGTCCATCTTAGGAAAATACATAGCATTTCTTACTTCCTTTGCTCTTAAAGAAGCCTTTGCGGGGGAGGGAGGTGGGGACCAGCAGATGGTGTAATGGTTAAGTAACTGGACTCCTACATAGTGGTTCGAGTCCCAGACCTGGTGGTTTAAAACTCACGTTGGGCACATATGCGTGTGTGCACGCCCAGGATCCCAAGAGGAGAATGAGAAAGGATTTGCGGCATGGTTATCCCCCCCGGATGATTTCTCACTTTCTGTCTCTCTCTCTCTCCAGTGAGTGCACATGCCCTATAGCAAAAATCTCTCTAAAAAAAAAAGAACAAGAAGC